GAACCACATGGCATCTTTTTCATTGTCGGGTGATTTCAAGGTCCTTGCTACAAGGTGGTGGATTAATTGAGATGCCAATTTCAACTCCGGAATGTGCACTAGTGGTCGGAAGCAAGATTCCACAAATAAATCTTTATGTTCATCATCTAGATTCTTAAATACATGCTCGACAACCTTGAGGTCGCACCTATTGGTCACGACTCCGGAGCATGTAGGAGGTATATTGAAAGCATACTCCCTTTCAGTTCCTAAAAGCATAGAAGAGAGACAACATGTCATAAAACGGTAGAAAATTCAATCACAATATTAAGAAGTATAACATCAATCATAAATTACAACAATCACATGCATATTATTAAGAAATTAGAAAGTACAACACGCGTTATATTTTGAAATTAAGAGGTACAAGATTCACTACATCAATCACACCTATACACCTATACCTTCGTTATTTTAAATATTATAAGGATGTTTTACTAAAATATTTTTGCCTTATATGCTAAAATTGAGTTGTAGTTTTGGGGAAATTGAGTTGTAGTTTTAAGGATGAAGGTTGGTGATTTATTCTAGTTCAACCTTATAACGAAAATAGAATCGTTAGCACGCCATTCAATCAAAATAGCCATAACGAGAGTAAATTCGTTATGATTTTCAACATAACAAATATATATTCGTTATGGTTATATTTCCATCCCGGTGAATTAAATACACCTATACCTTCGCTATTTGATACATTATAACGATATTTTATTCGTTATAGTCATAATTTAAGTTATTTTTGGATTCTATCGATTTCTAAAAAGAAATAACTATCGTTATCTCATAATAACGAGTGTGTATTCGGTCTAGTGTAATATATAACGAAAATAGCTTCATTGCTTTCATGTATACAACAAGTAGCATATCAAACATTTCATCAAACACATAGAGTGCAACTTTTACTACATCTCATTAACTCAATCCTACAAACATTTCATCAAACATATACACCAATTATCATCTTCATCCCATCAAAACTAGTAGAATTTGATGAATCCATATAACACAAACAAACATTGCTCCAAGAATATCAAACCTAAACAACAAGAAATTTTAAAAAAGAACAAATTGACAAAAACCAAAACATTCCTTACCGGAATTGACGAGAGAGAGCTCCATAACGTCGGTCGCAAGAGCTAGAAGGAAAAACAGAGAGAAGGTCGAGAGAGAGGAGCCCGGCGTCGCGAGAGAGGTGTGAGAGAGACAGAGCAGAGAGATAGAGCAGAGAGGTGCGGGAGCTTCGGTTTTTTCTTGTTTTTTTAAGTTCTGTTCGGTATTTTTTTTTAAGTTTGAAGAAGATAGGAAGGGCATAAGAGTAATATTCCCTTAAATGTTATTTTGCATTTTTTTTTTTTTGATTTTTTAGTCAAGGGTCATTTTAACAATTTGTATTGTAGAAAGGGTCATTTTAACTAAATTCCACGTGCCATGTGAGATATATGGATGAAATCAATTGTTGGATCTGAAATTTGAGTTGTCATAGTGTTCAATTGATGATTGATTACGAAATATCGATTTAATATAATTCCGATTCAGCTTCACTAAAGCTTTTGCGGTAAGCTTTTATTATTGGTCTTTACCTTTATTTAGATATAAAACATATTATCAGATGTGTAAATTTTGAGCATTTATGCATACTGCGAATATAATAGTGTATCAAATGTGCAACTTTGGTTGAACCGAGTGTACTTTGGATGAATGTAGAACATTTGTGTAGTCCTGTACAAATCTCCATGCTTAATAATTCCTATTGTAATGGTGGCTTGACTCAATTGTACAACTCAAACCCCCACTGGTAACAGAAAAAAAGTGATATAGGGTGTAAGAGTTTTTGTGATTTTCCTGCAATGGTGGCTTGACTAGATTTCCTTGTTTCATTTTTCACCAGTTTCTGTGTTCAATTTATGCTTTTTGGGCGATTGCCACTGATTAAACTATGTTCGTTCAATAAAGACAAGTGTTTGCAAAAAGGTCTATGTGAACCCAAAAGCATGCCTTCGGTCGACAGACTCCGCACTTTTCCAGGTAACAACATCATCACTCACATTTTCTCATTTCTCTCGATCAAGATCTGCGTGTCCACCAGCATCCTCTCTAGAAGATGAATATTCATGTTAGCACACTTCCCAAATCTTGATTTTAATAGCATAAATCGTGATCATGAGACGAGATTCTGAAACATCGTAAACATGGTTATGCCTAATTCCAAACTGCAGAGCATAAATACTCTTAAAAAAGGATAGCTACAAAGGTTGGTGTTGCCATCCCATCGCTGCTTATGAAGAGGCCAAGTATGATTCTTGGGGGGTCTTTCTCCAGCTCGGCGTTGTAGTTTTCGAGGCAACAAGGTTGGTGTTGATTCATATGTTGTTGACTTCTGAATGGATTAGCTTAAACCCCATCACCTCTCTTTACTATGTTTCCTCCAGTTTTGAAGCACCACTTATACAGATTGTAATCTGGATAAGTAATCTTAGTTTTTTGTAATCTTAGTCTTTTATTCTCCTTGTAATTGTTGGAAGTAGGTTGATAAATAGCTACTGGGAAGTGTTATATCCATTTTTTTGTTCATTATATCTAAGTATGACATATAACATTTCTAGCATGACATTTTAATCATATACATCAAAAGAAGTCAACAGAAGTGTCGGCCTGCACAGCGTTTAGGAGCACATTCAAAGGGAGTCACTCCTGTTACATTTATTTAATATTTATGAGCAATGTATGTATGTACGTCAAGAAAATAAGACAAACTAAGAATAGAACCACAAAAGGTTTATTGTCATAAATGATTTTTTTTTTAAATAAATATTGGCAACAATAAATGGAAAATCAAGTTATTTGTAAAAAGAGCTCATAACATACCTTATAAGCACCATTATCAGCAGGTTAACATAACATGGAAAAACAGTCGTCTAAATCTCTAGTACCAACTGCAGAAAGCAAATGGAATTATTAATATGTAATCAATGTATATATTATATATATTGTATGTATGTTTATACTTGTCTTTATATATACACACATACATATATGTACGTTTATGTTTGTCTTTCATGTAAGAAATCCTCAATAAAATGAAAAAAAAAATAGAAAGAAGAAAGCAAACAATACTCAGATGCTTTTCATCATGCATGTCCAATAGTTGAAATTCAAAATCATACCTTAGTCATTTTCTCAACATAAAGACAAAGCAACAAACATCAAGATTGAAACTTTATAATTCAGTCACCCCCCCGGGGTTAGGAGCTTGGCTTGACCATGACATTATCGGGGTGTCTTACCCTCGTAGAATTCTAATTTAGTTCCTTTAGGCCTCGCGCCTCCTTCGTTGTACCGAAAAAAAAAAAAATTTTATAATTCATAAAACGCTTACACTTTTACATGTTTACCGAGTATTACATGCCCAAAACACAAACACTCTCAGTCCAGAACATATTAGGCAGAAACTTTTGCCTCACCAGATATTTGAACAACAACAACAACAACAACAACAATGACATAGCCTTTTAATCCCAAGCAAGTTGGGTTAGACTAGAGATGAAATTTCAGAGAACCAATGGTATTTGAACGAACAAATAAAAAAAATAATGTTCCCACCATCTATTTTCATAATCAAGATAATTACATTGAGTAGACCATCACCATCAGCAGAGGCTAAAAAAGATACAATCATTAATATGCTGACAAAATCTTTTTAACTCATTTTGCATATGAATTATCATATTGAGTGGTTTTCTTCTTGTGGGTAGGTTCAAAACATATAAAAGAAAATAATAACTACCAAGAATATAACTTAATAAAGTTGTCGCCCAGAAATATAAAGCTTTCTAAAACCTGATATGATACGACCACAACACATGATACATGAAACATAAAAGATGAAAATGTTAAAAAATAGAAGTTAATGTTGTTTAACCACATAACCCAACACTATAATGAGTAAAAAAAAGGTAACATTAGAAAATATTTAATTTTTAAATAGCTTCCTATCTGTAAAACAAACAAATACAATGTAAAGCTGCACAACAGTTTTGGCTCTTATATGATACTCTTGTCAATAACACAAAATAATGGTAACCTTGTTATTAAAAAGTAATGGCACTAAGCAATAAGAAATCCTAACATTTTTTCAATGTAGTACAAGCATATGTATATAAGATTTGTAATAGAGCAAGCAGTGAGAAAAAGTATTTTTTTTCTTTCATGAAAAGGTATACAAATTTGAAAAACTGAAGTTAACACAACACAGTCTAACCTCAAAATCAAAGCAGGATGACCATGAGCTCAAATCTCTAAAAAACCAACAATAAGAAATTAAAAGGTGTTACTATTTACCGCCGCTATTACTACATACTGCCCCCTTGGACGATTTTGCTCTTCTCATTTTTTCTCCACATCATAATGAGCTCTTCTACTAAGGTAATTTTTTTTTTCGTCTGGATGAAACCGGACGTGTCCAACCGACCGAACCAGACGGCCTTAATGGCGTCCGGCCAGGTCGGCCGGACGTGATCCGGTATGGACGTTTATTATGGCCGTACGGACCGGTCAGTGTCCGGACAAACCGGCCGTATGGCCGAAGTGGTGTCCGGCGGCGACGGCCGGACGGAACCCGGTCCGACCGGCCGGACACCTTATTTTTTATTTTTTAAAAATAAATATTATTAGAATTTATTTTGTGATAGAAATTATTATTGTGGTATTAATTCGAAATAATTATGTTATAAATTGGACGTTAAATATTATTGCTTTAGGAATTAGAAATTATTATGTTATCGAGTCGAAATAATTATGTTATAAATTTGACGTTAGATATTATCGCTTCAGGATTAGAAATTATTATGTTATCGAGTCGAAATAATTATGTTATAAATTGGACGTTAGATATTATTGATTTAGGGATTAGAAATTATTATGTTATCGAGTCGAAATTATTATGTTATAAATTAGACGTTAGATATTATCGCTTTAGGAATTAGAAATTATTTTGTTATCGAGTCGAAATAATTATGTTATAAATTGGACGTTAGATATTATCCTGTTAGGAGTTAGAAATTAATTAGATTTGTGTATCTATAAATTGAATGTTAGATATTATCGCGTTAGGAAATAGAAATTATTACGTTGTACAATCGAAATAATTATGTTATAAATTGGACTTTAGGAGTTCGACATAATTATGTTATAAATTGGACGTTAGATATTATCGCTTTAGGAGTTAGAAACCGAATCTGACA